ATTTACTATCGACGCTCTTAATTCATGCATTTGAGCCAAGCTAGTGCCCTCTGCACTTGTTCTGGGTGGGCGCTGGGTTTCTTCCATATGTTTCTGCATTTGATTCTTTAGTTCAGAAGTTATTAATTCAAGGATTTCTTTTCTCATTTCCAATCTGAGGTCTTCTATATCTTTCTGCAGCTGTTTCTTTATTTCAGAAGCTGCTGATTCATTGCTTTCAGCTGTGTGATTTCCAATTTTTTCTGTGTTAGTGTCCTCTGTACTTGTTACAGGTGGGCTTGGGTTCTGAGGTTGCATTTTGTTCCTTCTCGTCATTTTGTGTAGCACTGTCTTCTGACCTTTGTTGTAGATCTTTGCTGTAGTTATATCCTTCGCACGTACTGAAGTTCAGGTGCAGCTCTACAAAGTTTGGACTTATCCAGCTGCGTCTGGCTTGGGTCTGGCTGCTGTGCTCAATCCTTCCCGCTGCTGCCCTTAAGGGTGAACCTGTTGTGCCCCTGTGGCGAGATGTTCTGCTCCTGGACTAGCTGGTTGGATCTATTCTCTACACTCTCCCCTGCAGGGATTGCAGCTGCAGGATTACACCTCAGGCATGTATGCCAGGCCTGAGCTGTGCTTGGAGGGGGCAAGGTGAAGTAGGAGGAAGAGGAAGCTCTCTGCACACACTCACGGGACCTGGGCTAGGACTGGGTCTGGGGCCTCCGGGACAAGGCAAAAATTCCTACTCGGTGGGCGGGGTGGGGGAGGCACTGTGGAGTGGTGGGGGGCAGCCCAAGGGGCTGGGAGAGGGTCCGGCCCACTCTGCGCCTGGGCTGGGACTGGTCCCGCCGGCGCAGGGTAGCAGGAAGCTCTCCACACACTCACCGGACCTGGGCTAGGACTGGGTCAGAAGTAAGGGATATTTCTAGTTCTACTTATCTCCTTTTAAAAGGAAAGCAGAAATTTTCTTGAAAACCTCATTAAACTTATATTTACAATTTAATGTCCAACACTAATTAATTGCTAACTGAAGTCTTAAAAGCAGGACCTTTTGCCATCTCAAGCAAAATTAATGTTTTGTCAAGTGGGAAGAGAAAGGCACATTTGTGTAAGCAAACCATGTGTCTGACACAGTCTTCTCTGCACTTTGCCTTACTTTTCTTGGTATTTCTAGTGAATAGAAGAGTACTTTTTCCAAAACAGACTTTCAGTAAGTGTTGAATGGATGAATTAGATAAAACGCAAGTCAGAGAAAATATACAATTATTTCAGGGTCACCTGTTTTTCCACAGGCAGTCCTTAATTTCAGTATGAAAACTGAGGCTCCCATATCGAGAACCTGTAAAACAAGGAAGTTGCAAATACAGCACTTTCTCCAAGAGTCCCCTCATGTGTAAATCTTGTTGGCTAGTTAAGGACCCTACTGTTCTGAACGTTGTTTTGGCTGAGTTTTGTCACATAAAGTGCTCCTTCATCGAAACATATGCTGCCCCCAGATGGGAGCAAAATTTATAAATTTTTTCATCATGTATTTTAAGAAAGAGACTGGTGGTTGTATGGAGAAAGGCTTTTGAGCAGACTGTGCTGCTGTTCTCTGAATATTAAACATATAGTTCTGGCCCATAACTCATATAAAAGGTTGGAGGGACTCAGAATTCTCCTGGGGATCTCACACTATTCCTTTACAGCCCTGGTTTTCTTTCTGTTCTATGGAATGTGTGCTCCAAGATGAATTTAAGTAGATGTGTTGCCCTACTGCCTCACATATCCAGGAATGTTTTAGTGCTCTTCCTTGGTTGGCTTCATGAACAAACCCTTCCTTAGGCTATTGTTGCAAGATACACAATAACCTGCTCAGAAAGCTCAGACATCTATAGAAACGTTAAGCTGGGAAGATAGCTCAGTGGTATAAGCGCCTGCCTGGCAAGCACAAGGTCTTGAGTGCAATCCCTGCTTTAAAAAAAAAAAAAAATTAATTTCCATCCTTTGACACCTTTATGACTTAATCCTGTATCTGTTATTCTCCATTCCAAGACAAAGTGGGCTCTAAAAGTGGAAGGAAAGAGCCAGCAAGATACCTTAGCGGACCAAGCACCTGCTTAGGCAAGCACATTGACCGGGGTTCAACCTCTGGCACCACATGCCACTCTTGCCTTGCCCCCAGGCATGCTGAGCCAGTGACTGCCTCCATGGTGGCACACACCTTTAATCTTAGTGCTGGGGAGGCTGAAAATAAGAGGATCACTGTGAGTCTGAGCTGCATAGTGAGAACCTGTAGAAGATACATAAATTTTTAAAAAATAATAAAAGTGGAAGGAACAATATTGTGTAGAATTGTTCAGAAGTAGAGACAGTGAAGAGGCAGTGGATAGCTCTGCCTTTGATAGCCCTTTCTCATGAAGGTTTTCTGGGAATCAAGTTGTTAGCTCCCAAAACTAATGAAGCAGTAGCAAGATTTGTACTGGACTCTTTAAAGAGTAGCTTAAAGAAACTACTGTAGTTAGCCTCCTTCGAGGAGAAAAAAATATTGAAAATTGGAAGCTGTGTGACAGAATCATCTTCAGACAAGGTAGAGATAGCAGTAGGTATAGTCATCTCTTATGTTAGATACTGATGAGGATTGATCTATCTTCTTGACCTTCTTCCCAAATTCTCCCTCCAGTCTTGATATGCCTGCCCTCCATTCCCTCTCTGCCAGGCTTCCTCCTTCTCCCTTCCATCTGCCCCCCTCCAGAGGAAGGAATGGCTGAGACTGGTGGAGAGAAGCCCTTTGAAATGGGGCAGCTGCTTCTGTGGAACAAAGCAAGAAGTTAAAATGGTAAAGGATGGGTCTCTGGCCAGGGTAGAGGAATTTCTAGAAATGGCACAATGGAAGACCCACTGGGAAAAATTAAACATTCAGCAGAGAAGTAGCAGGGTTAGGGCCAGCCAGCCACTCATTTATATTAGAAGGACAATGTAAACAACGTTTTTCAGGATTTGGTTTGCCTGACAATTTACATTAGTGTTTGAAATGTATTTTATAACTTCACTGACTTCATATTTTTATGAATTTTGAATTTTTAAAAGAACACTGATATAAAATACTAAAACTTGGGGACCAGGGATATATCTCAACAACACAAGTGCCAGCCTTGCAAGCATAAAGTCCTAAGTAAGAGTCCTAGTACCCCAGAGTAATTTAGCAAGGTCCTATCTTAAAATAAAAAGGGCTAGGATATATAGCTTAGTACAGAGTTCATTGATCAGTACAAAAAGGAAAGAAGGGAAGGGGAAGGGGAAGGGGAAAGGAAAGGAGAAAGGAAAGGAGAATGGAAAGGAAAGGAGAAAGGAAAGGAAAGAGGAGGGGAGGGGAAGGAAGGGCAGGGGAGGGGCAGGGAGGGGAAGGGAGACAGACTGGTAGCATTTTCCTTGTCTATACCACAAGATGGCACTAGTGATCAAAATCTTTGAGTGGATACTAGCTTTCGGGGGCTATAGAAGAGAAAAATCTCGTCAGAACACTGTTAACTGTAGATTTCTTGTGCATGGGCTCCCCGGGGTGGAGAGGGGCATTCTGCATGCACAGTTTTCCTCTCTGAAACCACAGAGCATAGAACACACAGGAAACACTAGAAGTAAGATCTAAATTCTAAATACAGTACTGCAACTTACTGAGAAGAAAATACATTAGGCCAAGAAATCTGAGAATCCAGTGCTTTACATTTTGAGATTGGTAACTAGGTGGTAACAAGAGCAAAAATAAAAACTAATGAGACTCATACTCTAGTTCTTAAAGAACATTAAAAGCATGATTCAGGGGCCAGGGAGATGGCTCAGTAGAATAAGTGCTTCCCTGACAAGCGCAAGGGTCCGAGTTCAATCCCCAGTTCCGCCAAAAGAAAAAAACATGATTCATTAAGACAATAGCACTTGTCCATTAACTAATCTAAAACTGCTTAAATCACTTGCCAGCTCAATGCTTTCTCCTCATCTATAGAACTTGAAGATCTTGTGACTTCAGATAATAACTTGTAGTCTTCTGTCTTCCTGTCAAGCTTAAATACTTCCCACCTCCAGTATTTTGTAGATTTCGTCTTAGACTTTATTCTTGAACCTAGAATTTAAGGTCATTCAGCTAGTGACAGAACTGGGAAGGGCACTCAGGTTGTCTTGCTGCATGCTATTTGCTCACACATTGGGTACCTGAAACTCAATGACAGGATGACTTAAAACAGACCTGAAATACACAGTGGTTAATATTAGATTGTAGAAGGAACCAATAAAAGTTTGGGCAGAGTTACTAATGTGTTTCTCTTTTGCCTCTATAACTTTACAAAGAAGACACTCTAGGACAACCAGGAAAGGAATTGTACAACTCATCTTTCTGTAAACTCAGTGCTTTGAATTGGCTGGAGGAGACTGGTCAAGCCTATGCACAGATGTGAATTATGTAATGTCTAAGGTTTGCTCCTTGTGTTTCCTAAAAGGATATTGAGTTGTTCCTTTGTTCTCTGCACCACCATTTGAAGGATTTCTTATCCATATAAAATACTTGTGTATAACCACAACATTCTAAGAAATGTCAAAAATACTAGAATAGTTTTGTTGCCTTGAATGCTTTGGAAATATATATTCTTCACTTTTAAAATATTGTCATTTTCCCAGTTAATTCATTTCAGCAAACAATATATGCAGATGGATCTGAAACTTGTGGCAATGATTGTTTTGCTCTAACATTGTCAGACTTTGTCTCTCATCACATTCTCCTGTTTCCTCCTCAGCTTGTTCTCTTTAAGCTCCTTTTTCAGCTAGGACATATCGTGGGAGACTGATTTATCTGGTGAGACAAAAAATAAAAGTCAAACTGATGAGTTTGCTTATAGACCTCAGCACCTGTCTAACATGGTTTTATAGGAAATTATCAGTCATTCTGTTTCAGAGATCTTAACCCTGGTAAATAGGGTCCCCCACACTTTGAGGTATAGCCCTATTCCCCTTTCCCAATGCTCATCTAACACATCCATTGTTTGTAATTCTAGAAAAATAATTGTATGATGCCTGAGGATATGAAGAACTTTTACTTGATGACCAATGGCTTCCACATGACCTGGAGTGTAAAGCTAGATGGTGAGTTGGTTCCCTTGCTGTAGGGGAGCATCCCAATGCTGGACAGTTTGAATGGATGATGCTTAGGGCCTTACAACTTTAGAATCTTTGAATCTTGACAGCTTTTATAGGTGCTCATCAAATACCATATCCAAAAGTTTTCATTTTCTCCCAAAGCTAACCAACACTGTCAGTGCTTCAGCTACCACCACCCTCTTCCAGTATCTAGCTGGTTCTGACCTGGAAGCTCAGATTAGAGGCTGCTTGTTGCAATGTGGTAGAGAAAAACATTAATCACTACACAAAGAACCTAACCAACTCAAACATAAAGTTGCTGCATATTTACCACCACCACCACCACCAGTAGTCTTCTCAGGGTCTGCAACAACACCAGCCTCCAATTTTCCTGGGAACAGCTGCCCTTGTCAGACAGGCTCCTTCTCTAGTCTCATCATGGTGAGGACTTCAAGGCTCTAAGCTTCAAACCACAGCCTTTCCCTTTCTGCTTATATCACCTCAGCCTAAGTTACCGTCCACTTCAGTTTGCTGTCAGACTGTCATCTTAGCCTTTAGTGTTCCTAAGCTAAGATATTTGCACTGCAGATGTAGGAACTCACAACTCTGTACATATCAGAGATTGTAGATACTATGTCGACATGAGAGGTAGCATTGCACATTTAGCTGAAGACTTTTGTAAAAGCTCATAAGCTAGTATATCCTGATCTGGCCATAGTAGTCCAACCCATTTCTGGCATAGACTTGCCAGCCCCACCTTTGTTGGTCTAAATTGCTTCTATCCCCAGCAACATCCCCAAGACAGAGTACCCACATCTCCTCACTTCTGTTTCTACCCTTCTTCAGAGCGTGGATATGGCCTTGGGAATCTGGAGTGGCACACAAGGGACAGAGACAAGATTGTTAGCTTCTTTGGGCCCACATCGTGGGGATAAGTCAGCCCCAAATGTGCCTCAGAGTGGAGCTTTTTTCATGAGTATTTTATCAATGAGCCATTTTTATAATTGCAGTATCTTTGGTAATTTAATTATCCAGTCCTGGTCTTTTCATTCCCTTTACCATACACATTCTGTTTTGGTTTTTTTGTTTGTTTTGTTTTTTTAATGTATTTAGTACTATAGGGTCTATAGGGTCTCACTACACAGATCGGACTTGCAGTGATCCTTCCTGTCTTTCAGCCTCACAAGCACTGGGATTATAGGCATGCACTACCACACCCAGTCTCAATCATTGTCTCAGTGCACCCCCAGGGGCAGGGTCAGCATGGCAGGCTGGGTATTGAACCCCAATTGCTGCGTCTGCCGAAGCAGGTGCTTTAATCTGCTTAGCTACCTAGCCAGCCCTGCCATGCACATTCTTTACTGAATAGTTTAAGTCAGTAGAAGAGGCAGTTTCTGATGTTTAATAGTATTTTTTGCGCTGACAGTCCATGTTCCTTACAACACTTGTTTCATTGCCTTCAACCATTCCTATTTTTTCAGAAGTTATATTTCTAAACCTTTGTGTGCCACCTTGTGTCCAGCATCCTATATAACAGGGACCCTTTTTAACAGATGAGGAAAACATGCAGTTTTCCTGTTAGTTATTTACACCCTAATCACAGAAGACTATAATGAGGCAAGAAGGCTGTCAAGTTCTTTCTCCTGAGTAAGGATAAATGACAAATAGTGGGAGAGGAATTTTGTCTTGAAAGCTTGTGAGAAGAGAAAGTGCCTATTATCTAATCAAACCTGCTACTCCTTTAGAAAATACGATTCTTTTTATATAATACTGGAAAAGAGTGTGATACTATTATTACATAATTTACTTTTAAATTAAGGTTCCTAAATCCAGGCTTTGCAGCTTATTTTGAGTACCTCTTCTAAGTTTTTATTCATCTGCACCCAAATAATGCAGTGGGTTTTGTTCATCACCCATGGCCTACAGGTTGTTGGTTTTTTTTTTTTTTTTTTTTTGCATTGAAAGCTAGTGTTTTGTGATCCTTGTCTTTCCACCTTCCATCAGATGCCTCAACCAAACAGTAGCTCTCCCTGGGTATTGAGGGAGAAACCCTTTGATGAGCATTGTAACTAGCCTGTTATTTTATGTCATTGTTCTTTTTGATGTTCCCATAGAGCACATCATTCCGCTGGGCAACATGGCAATTAATAGCATCTCAAAATTAAATGAACTCAACCAGTCTTCTATGTATTCACTTCCTAATGCACCAACCCTGGCAGACCTGGAGGATGATACATATGAAGGTACCTGGTGAAACTTCTGCTTTGGGTTAGAAATCAGCCTGCTGATTTTCTTTTTATCATACTTAGAGCCAGGGGACAAGGTAGCTTTATAATATGTTTTCTAATATGTTTTGAGCTAAAAACTCTTCCTATTCATAGCTTCTTCAGAGCCTGGAATTAAGGGGAGAAAAATAAATAAAATGTAAGAACAGCCTGTATCAACAAAGGAAATTTTCATGAAGAAATTATCAGAGAAAGAAAAACTCTTCTAGGCTATACTGCTCTAGAGACCCATCTTTTTCAACCGGTCCCCACCTCTTAACAGCAAGTCAGCCATAAAGCACTATAATCCAACTCTCTTTCTGAAGCTTTACTAATGAGGGGGTTGGAGAACACCTACATAGAAATCATAACACCATATTAGTGTCTAAAAAACAGTAAATTTATTTTTAGAGCAGGAAATCTGGAACTAGCTGGTATAGTTACCTGAGAAATTCAGGATACCTCTGGCTTCTTGTGCAATGGCCTTTGTGTCTACCTCAGGCCAGGATTCATTTTCAGCAGCTAAAGTTTGCCCTTAAATACTAGTTACCTACTCCTTTCACATTAATCCATAAAAATTTCTTACTACTGTCCTATGAACATTTTTAAAATGTAATTTAATAAAAGGAATGGCTGTCCATCATATTCACAGATTTCCAAGTGCCTTCGGGGAGAGCAGTGTATACACCAGGGGGCAGTAATCTTGGAGGCCATCTTAGAGTTCTCTGTACCCAACTGGGTTAGGGAAATAATGGTACAGTGTTTAAGGATAGGGTCATATGAATCTAATCATACAAGCAACAAACAACAAATGATCATAACCAGTAGCCAACCTAAAATAACAAATTTGAATAGAACAAAATTTTGGGGGTACAAATAACAGGGAACTCCATTCCAGGATATAAGACTGATGACAAATCATAAGTATATCCAGAATAATTTTGATAAAAGGAAGCTTTTAAAGGCAAAAAAGAAAATTTCACATAAGCTGCTCTGCTCTCAGAAGGTGATTACAGAAATTGATGTTAACCCACTAGTAGAGACAGACATTACTAGGCAAGTTTTTTCATATGAACTTCTTCAGTCTTAAAAACTTTATCAAAGTCAACCTTGATACAAAAAATAGGTGCAAAATGGATAAGGTATGGAAGGCAAATAAGTTATGAGATAAAAGTAGGCTATCAAGGAATTTCATGTGGAAACCTTGTGATAGTTGTTATTGATTCCCTATCTCTAGATGATGGGAAAGCCCAGATAGCCTAATCCATCAGTGAAATCTAGGGTATTTAAAGCATACAAAAGCATTCTTTTAAAAATAATAGTTAATATGTGAGAGAGGGCTTGTTCCTGGTTTTTTTTTTTTTTTTTAATGTACAACTCTGTAAGTTGACTTTGTTTGAACCTTACCATTAACTTCTGGATTTGCAGCCAGTGATGACCAGCCAGAGAAGCCTCATTTTGACTCTCGAAGTGTGATATTTGAGCTGGATTCATGCAATGGAAATGGGAAGGTTTGCCTTGTCTACAAAACTGGGAAACCAGGTAAGAATCCTTTACAAACATAGCCATACAGTTTGGGTTTGATCTTCCTGACTTTGTTCAACACATAAACTACATATCTCTCTGGCCTGAGATGTTGCCAACGCTCTGGTATGTGCAAAGACCCAGAAAGCATCTTTGGTCAGTTCCAAGCAATCTCCTGGAGGCCAGTGTCTAGCCATCTTCATATGTGAATTACTGTAGGACAGTCAAAGGGATTGGATAATAGGTGAATAAAATTTGAAAGAAAAAGTCACTGGTTCATAGACTCCTGCAGGCTCCTGGATGAGATAAGCATCCAGGAGACACTCTTTTAAGTTTCTATATCTAGGCCAGTTAGCAGTAATAAATTCTGAATTACTAGACCCTACATGGAAAATAAAAAGGGGCCAGGTAGTGGCTACTATTTCTGTGCCCTTAAGAGCAACTACTGCCTGGCCTCTAACAGCAGTTTGGGCCGGGGGCCTTTGAAAATACGGAGCTGGCCTCAGTCTTTTCAGCTAGCTCTATCTGATGGGGTGAGAGATACATCAACATTTACCTCTGTGGGGTGAAAAGGTTATCTTTAAGTGGAGGAATGATAGCAGAGTAGCCTGTGAGCTGCATCTTGAACTGTGACTGGAATGAGACATGAGGAAGCGAGTAAACGAGACATTTAACCAAAAGGACAAATGGATAAAAGCTATCTTAAGAGAAGAACAACTGACTTGGAGGAGTAACAGTTCATTTCCATGAGCTACATGAGATAAGGAAGGAGAGAAAGCCCAAAGGCAGGCTGATGTTTCTCTTGCAGAACAGTGTTAGACATAATATGGAAGACAGTGGATGGTGAGGATTGCTGGGGAGAATGGCAGAATTTAAGTGAAAATGTTTGTGACCATAAGAAGTTCTGGGAATGGAAGAGACTGGATAATGGATGCCACATAGGGGGAGTTCCTGCTCTCTAGATGCAGATGAACTTGGGTAGGCTTGAGGTAGCATGAATGGAAGGCCAGAAGATGCAAGGCAGGAAGAGCTGGTACAGGAAGTAGTACCTGTGTCTGTTCAGCCAGGCCATCATACAACCACATAGGCAAAATTCTCAGAAGTGAGCTGGTCTGGATTTCTTTATAACTGGTTCTCACAGTACTTCTGATTGCTGAGAGAGCCTGATCCACCCAAGAGAACCTCTTCAAGAGAACATGAGCATGAGTTTCTTTTCATTAGAAAAGCTAAAAGCAATATAGTGAGGAAGAGGTGCACTGAGTCCCCTCAAAAAAGGAACATTTGCTTGGACAGCCTGAATATTGCTTCTAGGTAGCCAGATCCAGCAGATAAATCTAATGAGTAATGATTAAGAATGTACAAGATTGTCAAATAAATGGGCCAATGAGGCCACTGGAGAATGAAACCAAGAAACTGGAAGAGGAAAAAAGAATTTGTATATTTTACATCTTCTCTACTATTTACTTTTAACCATAAGTGTATGTCAACTTTAAAGGGAGAAAATGTTAAACTATCGCTGTTGTTTATTTCCTTTTGTTATTTAGCATTATCACAAGACACTGAAATCTGGTTCCTGGATAGAGCATTATATTGGCATTTTCTCACAGATACTTTTACTGCCTATTACCGCCTGCTCATCACCCACCTGGGCCTGCCCCAGTGGCAGTATGCCTTCACCAGCTATGGCATTAGCCCACAGGCCAAGGTAAGGGGAGAACACCTATCATCTCAAAATGTGATGTATATAAAAATTCTGGCAGGCATGGTGGCACACAGCTATAATCCCAGCACTTGGGAGTCTGAGGCAAGAGGATTGCTCTGAGTTTGAGGCCAGGGTTGCAGTGAGTTCAAGGCCAACCTGAACTAAATAATGAGACATTATCTCAAAAAAAAAAAAAAAAAAAGAAAAAAATCCTCTGAGGAAATCGTTGCTTTGAAAATTGCCGCCTTGCCCTTATGGTTTATGAGACATGGGGTGGAGCCCAGGAACCCATGTTTTCAAGGCAGGTGATTCCATTGCATGGACAACCTCACTTTATATTTAGTTAACTGATTCCCAGACTTGGGTGACCCTCAGAGTCAATCATCCTGGGAGTTTTTAAGTAAATGTTATCAGAGGCTAAAGTCTAACTAGTTTTTGGACTGACATTTCATGTATTCAGGGAGAGTAAAAAAGTATATCTCTATTCCCCTGTTCTCCCAGAGGAACCTAGTTTTTGTATCTTCCTAAGATACTCAATGCATACATTCTCAGGGGAGCCTTTTAACTTTTGCATAATCACAAGTATAATGTACTGTTCACATTTTTTCTTCACATTATTCTTTTAACTCCATACTTTTACCTTGGGATCATTCCATATTAGCATATGTACAGCCAGTTTGTCCTAACAGCTACAGAGTATTCCATTGTATGGATATGCCTCATTTATATTTCAAATCTGGTCACTATTTCAAGAAAAGATACCAGGTAAAACTGTTAAACATCCTGATTTGAGAACACAAAGTGAGAGCTGGGGAATATAGCTCAGTGGCGTGGTACCTGCCTCGCAAGCGTAAGGTCATGATTTCAGTTTTTGGTACCCTTCCCCACCCCCTACCTCCCACCCCCCCAAAAAAAGGCTTTTTGTGGTAGAATTTGTGACTGGAATGAGGCAGTCTGGTCTCCCTCATGGTGATTTCTTACAACATGAAATAAGCAGGAAATTAGGGACTCAGCTCAAGTACCATCTTGCTAGATATTCATTGAGGAGGCCTCATTTTCCTCACAGGTCACGTGATGAAAACTTCCATCCAGTCAACATTATAAGGTGGTTGTGATCAGAGAAAGATCAATAAATTAGGATGCTGTTTTCCCTCAGCTACTTCGAAAAGTAGTGAGGAAGAAAACACCAGCATATATATATCTTCCCCTAGGAAAGCTCACAGTGGCCTCTGTTGTACCTGTCCTGGGGTAGAGGGTGAGGAGTGGGGTGCCACCAGAATCTACCTGATGAAGAATAGCTACTTTGAGGACTAATCAGAGGGACACTGTCCCCGGGTGACTCATTAGGTCAGAAGGTGTCTCAGTTACTCTTCTCTCATTGCTAGGACAAATACCCAACACCCAAAATGAAGGAGGAAAGGGTTTGTTTAGCTCACAATCAGTGGAGGTTTCAGTCTATACTCAGCTGGGTCTAAGGCAGAATGGCACATGGCAGCACAGAGCAGCCATTCATGGAAGGGGCAAAGGGAGTGCAGCAGCTTAGGCAGCTAGCAAGCTTCTCTCTCCTCCTTACATTTTAATGCAGAGTGTTTGCCCCAGGGCACTCACGCCCATAATCTCAGGATTGGATCATGAATCAATCACAAATTCCAAAAGCCACCCCATGACTGCATGAGGCATTGGGGGGACACCTAGACATAAACCATAACAGAAGGAAAGCAGTATGCTTAGATTCTTAGTTCTCATACTGCATTTATTTTAGAGTTGATTAGACTTTTCAAAACATGTGTATTTGACCAAGAATAGATGGGTCTGTCATCACTTTCTCTTAGTGAAGAGCTAAGAGTTTTGAAGGCAGTTTTTCATTAAAATGAACACAGATTGAGAAACTCTTATCTGAAATGCTTGGAATCAGAAGTATTTCACATTTCAAAGTTTTTTAATTTTGAAATATGTGCATAGGCTTTCTTGGTTGACACTCAAAAAGTTTCAGTTAGGAATGCTCAACCTGTATTCTCTTTGCTCTGTTGTCCCCAGCTCTCTCCCTCCACAGCCTTGTTAGGAATGGCAATTACCTTTGAATTTTGACTCTTTCTTTCAATTCTGCCTTACAGCAATGGTTCAGCTTGTATAAGCCCATCGCCTACAACACAGACCTGCTCGCTGGAGAGACCGACTCCTTCATGAATAAGCTAGA